GTTCTATAAACATTCGACCTGGTACTATCTAGTTAACACATATTATGTTCCTTAAAGCTTTTTGAAGTATGGAGGATTTGTGTAACAGAGGATAAGATTTCCAAAACAATTTGAATGATACCATTTTGTACAAGGTCGACTTAAACTACCAAGGGTAAAGCAAATATAAAGATTAAGCAATGCAGGTTGAGGCCTAATGAGGTACATTAAAAACATCTGAAAAATATATTTGTGTCAAAATATTGTGAGAAAATTGCCTAGCCTGCCCCGTGTTCCCTTCTACATGATACTACAATTGATCATTATAGGATGAGTTTGTCATACTTATTCTACAATCTGTTCATACTAATTTTACATTCTTTTTCCTCGAATCTCTCTTTTAAGTAAACCAGCTTCTGAGTTGAGTGTTTTACACATTAAGTCTACCAGTTAGGCCATTCAAAGTTAAAAATGTAATTAACATTCCTTAAAGCACTTGGCTGAGTTAAATCTTCTGAAAACAAACTTCTTAAGTGCCTAAATATGAGTTGAAATGAATCCAAATGACAACTGAAACTTGAAAATTGTGATCTCAGATCATATTATGCAATAAACAAAAAATAGTGAACAGGTGAAAGGTGATTGAGGTGAACAGGTGAGTTCTTGGATTTAAGATTGAGTCCCTCAATGGGACGTTAAACATAACTTTGGATGTGAACGGCCTTAGGTAGTTTCAATGAACAGTTGCTCCTTAGGAATCCTAACAAATATTTATTTTAACTGGTCAATTTTTGTGTGGGCCAGAAAGCATGTAGAATCTATCCCAGAATCTAAAGTACAAGAGAACATATTTAGAATTGAAATTGATCCGATAGTTACTTAAAGATGCCAGATGCCATCAGGTGGCTAAACAGTACTATCTAGTACCTCTAATGAGATAACAAACCAGAACATAAAGAAAGTAATTCCCCTAATCCTGAATAGAAAGAGATACAGAGGATCAATTTTTCTACATTCTGTTTTATCAGTCTCTCATTATCTAAAGCTTTTTAGGTAGCAGAGGAACCTACACTTAGTGTTTCATGGTTTTGTAACATGGGCTACAACTTGGCAATTGATTATTTTTGATTTGTGGAAAACCTTTTCCTATATTTTGATTCTTTAAAAAAGAGCTTCATCTGTATGTGCTAGACTGACACTCAGGATTGATTTATTGAATAAATTTGATAAAGAGAAATCGATGGGATTGGCATTTATACCTCCCCCTAATATACATCAATAACAGCTTTTTATTGGCTGGCCTTAGCACATTGTTCATGTACCTAGTCCTATGTAGTCTTTCACCAAATTTCTGCATCCACATTTTCCTTGATTGCTTGCGATAATGATATTCTCTTAAATTCGATGTGTTCATTTATAATTGTTAATGAACTTGTATGTGTGTAGAGTATGTGCCATATTTGGAGAACACTGTATTTATTAACCTTGGGGATTTCATTGATGTACACTTTTATTGATTATGAGGAATAAATTGGAAATTATAAATAATATATTAATGAAAATTGTGCTTTAAGCGATGTATCATTTATTGTAAAAATGGTTGTATATGTATAGACTAGAATTACATTTATTGTTAGCGAGCTAAAGACCATTTTCATGTTGTATTCTCAGTTTAAAAAGCTATTTATGTGTACTTTATGTGTATCCATTTAGTATATTAGAACATGGATCTGATAAAAGGTTAAAGTTAGGGGTGTAGCCAGGATTTTGAAATAGTTGAGGCATACTGAAATATGTTAGGTGAATATGCCTCTTTTTGCCTCATGCTTGGTTACCACCTTTGGGGAATTTAACTCATGCATGGTGTTGATCTTCATCATTTAAATATGATGGTTTTGTAGCTTTTAAAAGGAACTTGGTGTCTTCTTGTTAATAATTATATATCACCATATTACACTGTGTATTGTTTGTCCTTGTACATGCATATGTTTTGACATTCTCATGTATTAATAGTTCACAGAGAGAAACATTTATTTTATTTTCTGCAAATGTTATCATATAATGTTGCACTGATTTGGTGTAAAATATGTCTAAGAATAAGAGATGTATCTCTAGAAACATTCTTATATTGGATTTTGAAATTGCCAAACATAACAGGATACTTCCAGTTGCCAAACTTATGGAGGGGAGTGTATAAAAAAAATCAGTGAAAATGTAATTTGCCTCTCTTAATTTTTCTAAGATGAAAATTTCATGTATTTTCATGCTTGAATATTTAAAAAGTCATCGAATTTTGTGGCAGTTATATTCTCCAAATATGACAATATCAACTTTATGACATTTCTGACAACATTCTCCAAGTAATTTCCTAAGGTCATAAATATAACATCATTATTTTCATGGTGACAGCAATTAATTTAGTATTTCTCAGCTAAGAATGTTTCAGGAAATAGACAACCTGATTAATAATTTGCCAAATCACATAAAATCATCTGTTATTTAATGCATTTATATATTGGAAGTAAATGATTTGTAACATGTAAATTTCTTGTAGATGTAGATTACTGAATTAAAATAAAATTGTTATGCATAAAACTAACTACTTGTACAATTCTGTTGATTTGTTATTAGATTGCGAAGATTTGTATTGTAATATGAACCAGTAAAAGACCTCTATATAAGTGGAACACCTTTGTAAGAGGAAAACCTCTGATAGTGGAACACTTCAAAGCCTAAATCGTGTCTACTATAAAATGAACCTCTTCAAGTAAACAACCCAAGTGGAACAATTTTTCAATTGATGTTACCCATTAATTTGATATAACATGAATCTCTGTAATTGCAAAACTTCCTTAGCCTAAGTGGAACACTTTATGCAGTGCCAATACTCATTAATTGAACCTCTGTTCGTGAAACTCCCGTTACCCATTTATTTAACGGCATAATGACCTCTGTAAGTGGAAAACCACCAAACTGCAACACTATGATATACTAAGGTGTTCCACTTAAACAGGCTTTACTGTACCATAGTACCATAAGATATATATTTTTGGGATTGCCCAAATGACTAATAAAGTGCAATTCAACAAAGCTGCAGATGGGTTACCCTTTTAGCATCACACAAAAACAACTTAATGGTGTTTGGTTGATGCTTTGATGTGATTCCTAACAAAACAAAATGACTTGTTCATCAGTTTTCCATATTGTATTGTTTTATATTTGGTATTTACAATCCTGTATTACATACCAAGCGAAACATTTGTATGGGGAGTCAATTGGAAAGTTAGCGGGTTATATCCACCGATATACTGCCCGATTACCCCGATATAGTCCCCTCACCTCGTTTTGATAATAACATGATGTATATTTCATTTCGATCAATTTTTTTTATTATTCTTTATTCAATTTTAGTACATACAAAATACACATGTAGTGACTGCCAAAGTTGAAAAACATTGGTGGCAGTTCAAATTCGATCAAATTCTATTCACACAGTGATGTATGACATCAGTTCAGGCATATTTCACGACATAGTGATATAACCTTTAAATATTGTTTTGGGATACTTAATTATAAATATATATAACATACTGGAATACAAGCCCTTTTCTATGTCTATGTCTGAATATTTAATATAAACAAATATACAGTATAAAGACTTGTTTATTGTAAGATATGAAATTCCCACTGCATTGTGAACTAATTTGACTAATTCAAATCTGATTCACTACAGTAGAATTTCCTATCTCCTCAATCAAATTCAAGAGAATTATAACTTAAAATGTGTCACAGTTTTAACCTATATAACACACCCTATGCAGACAGAGCCTGTGGGAAATATTGGGTGCGGCGCAAATGAGCGGAGGGTGCGGAGCTAACAGTCATTTTTGAATTTAAAATTGGGATATTTCTGAAACTAAGCCGTTTTGGGACTTCAAATATACCAAGATATGTGTATTTGACACCAAATATAAATAAAATTGTGAAAATAGTAGTGCAATTCATTTTATAGCGACGCAGTATGCCTTAAACATTTCCCAGACCTATATATTTTGAGACTATCCTTTTAATACTGCGTCTCCAGCATTCATAAAAAATGGTGTTCAAGATACACTACCCATGCAAATTATTTTTGCATCTTGGAAGCCAGGCAGTATCTGTGTGATTTTATAAAAATTCGGAAATGTTCTTCAGATATGAGGTGCGGAGGTACGTTTATGGAGCTCCTCCGCACCCAATATTTAGAGGGGGCTCATATCTGAAAAACATTTCTGAATTTTTATAAAATCACACAGATACTGCCTGGCTTCCAAGATGCAAAAATAATTTGTATAGATAGTGTACCTTGACCTTTTTTATGAATGCTGGGGACTCAGTATTAAAAGGATAATTTCAAAATATATAGGTCTGGGAAAGGTTTAAGGCACACTGCGTCGCTATAGAATGAATTGCGCTACTATTTTCACAATTGTAGTGATATTTGGTGTCAAATACACATATTTGAAGTCCCAAAACGGCTTAGTTTCATAAATATCCCAAATTTAAATTCAAAAATGACCGTTAGCTCCGCACCCTCCACTCATTTGCTCCGCACCCAATATTTCCCACAGGCTCTGTCTGCATAGGGTGTAAAACAAAAATGCAAGATCATACTTTATGCAAATTGTATGTGAACAATTCCATATGACAGAACTGATTAAAAATATAACAGCTCTTATCAGATCATGGTTAGCATTTTGTTTAATTGAAACATCAACTTAACGAATTTGATTTAGCCTTATTCTGTAGAGATGATGTATTTTATTACATACATTTCTAGTATTTACAATCCTGGGGAGTCACATCGTGAGAGATCTTATTTATTGATGTCTTTGCTCCTATAATAATTTTCTTCTCAAATCAACAAAATACTTTGAATTTGATATATGCTTATGAGAATATATTTACAAATCAGCTAAATATTATATTTTATTGCCAATTATTAATGATTAACTAAGTGTGTGAACTTCCTCAAATGCAGCAGAACTTTCACAAATTATTTCAACTCTTATCTCGACATATGATTTAATTTTCTATTCATGGAGAGGATTGGCAGTATTCAATTTTAACACAAAATAGACACAAATTATACATAAAATAAAGATGAGTGTATCAGTTGCTATGGTAATATGTATGGTTGCTATGGCAACAGCAGAAAATGTACGGGTGGAAGTGGATGTAAATGGAGAAATACATTATCACCATGAAATTGATCCAGATGATGAAGATACTCTTAACAAAGCATCTGAAGACGCAGAGTAATTTCATTTATAATATCTGATTTTAATATTTTTTGATTTAGGCTATTTCAAATATGAATAATAGGGACAATCATTTGTTTGGAATTGGTTATGTTGCTTTTTGAGCGAGCAATTGTTTCAGCTTTGATATTTTTTAGAAACAAGGTTTGTACCAAGTAACTAGTGCCAAGTCTATTGATGTTAAAAGTTACATATCACATTTTAGACTTAGAGCTACAGACTATGCCCTTTTACAACATTGAGACATAACATTTTAGTTGTAATTGCCTTATGTTATATTGTGGAAAATATTGGCCTGGAAGACTGGAAATTCAGGAGCAGAGTGTGGATCCAACTTTAGATGAGGCAAATTTTAGATTAGGCAAATTTTAGAAGGCTATTCAGTCAAAGTGGACATTTAACTGTGAAATCCATGAGACATAATTTTTAGTTTTAGTTAAAAAATTGTCTTATATATTTATCTGTACTACTTTGATGAAACTGCCTCGTGCTATGTTCATGTATTTGGACGACCTCAAAAATATAGAGTTCGCCTTTTCTTGCTAGGTTACAATACAACGTTTGGTCATTTCCCTTTGGCACTTATGCTTACATATTCCTACTTTTTCTCTTCACAGGCATATACAAGATCACTACAAGGGTCAAGTAAAGTTGGATTTTAACTCCATGCCGAAGGAAGAAAAAGAGTTCCATTTCTTTAAGTAAGTGAATTACACATCAGGCATGGGGCATTATAAATCTCATGACGATAATTTTTCTACCATTGTGTGAATTATCTGATTGTTTCGCTATTAGGGTACAGGGTGACCCAAAAATGCAACCATCTAATTTCATAATTAATTGCTTGATTTTAGTGGAATTTCTTGAATTAACTCATGTTTACTGAAGCAAATATATATGATAGTATACGGTTTTGTAAGAGAAATTACATTTCTGCCAAGGCATGCAATTGTGCCTAATTGTTAACTGTAAAATTTTAAATGTTTGGAACTACTTTGAATCTAAAAAATAAGCAATTAAAGGACCATATTGAAACAGAATATGTAAAAATAGAAACATTTATGCATGTCCTTACTTTTGTATATTTTAGATTGTTTTGTAGTTTAGCTATCATATCTGTGGCCTCTTATATTTTGATGCTTCTCTTCCATGTTATTTTCAAAAAACTTAACATGGCTGAAAGTCCCTAAATTACAAAAGGCCACAGCTTTGCTGCACATTAAACATAACTATCTGAAATATACAAAAGTTAGGACTTGTACATAAGTTTCCATTTTTTCATATACTGTTGCAATATAGTCATTTTTTGCTTATTTTTTAAATTCAAAATAGTTCCAAACATTTAAAATTTTACATTTAAAATCAGCAATACTAATATCCGTATTTGTCTGTATTTACCAAATAAGTCAAGTCATCATTAAGTAGTGCAGATATATTATATCATTGATAATATGTATAAAATTTGAAGGTGATATCTGATATATGTGATGTGGACATAAAAAGCTAAATGCCAAATCTGGTCTACTAGTATGTAAACATTATAGTTGTGTGTCACTTTTGTTTTCCTTGCATTGCCCCATGTGGTATGTATCTGACCATTATTTTTTAACTGCTATTTAGGCAACATGACTTCAATCATGACGGTCAACTGGATGGCATCGAGATATACCATGCATTTGGCGAGAGAGTGAGACATCCACAATACCCAACTGAAGGATCATACGAGGAGAGAGAAAAAGAATACCTAGAAAAAGTAGACAGATTAACTTTAAGACTAACAAGTATGTTTTTTATGGATTGATTTTGACTTTTCATTGGTGTTCTGCAAAATCTGTAAATATGTACATGGCCTCATACATGTATACAGTAAAACTTCTCAATAGGGTTCTTATAGATTTTTACCAATGAAGATTTCAGATTCCTTAAATCTTGGGTTTTCTGCCCGAAAACAATGGCAAGGATTCATTGTCATTTTTATGATGAATTTTATTTTGAAATGTGCCTGAAGTGTGTTTTAATTGCTTATGTTTGCTTGTTACCTTAATGGTAATGAAACTGCACCAAATTAGAAAATAGAGCAACTCCACTGATTACTCATCTGAAGGTTAACCCATGTGCCTCTTTGAATATTGATATCATTAGCTTTTTTGTGTGTCAAATTCATAATCAACTGCTTATTGGTTTGTTTCAGAGGGTATAGACCGAATGCTAAACAAAATAGATAGCAATGACGATGGATACGTTACTTATGTTGAATTTGCAGCAGCTAGAAAAAACAGATTTAAGAATCCCATGTTCAGCAGCCTGACATAATTGAATATTAAAGACATAAAACATTAGACCTTTGACAAAATATCAGAACTACATTCAACTACAATAGACAAGAGAGGAGGCATACGTACAAGTTTCAAAAGTCGAATTTAAAGCATTATTGATAAATCAACCTCTGAAATGTTCAGTTTACTAGTCATAGACAAAATCTAGTTTACAAGATTATTTAATTATAATGTAAACAATAACATTAAAACACCTAAAGAAATCAAAGATCTAAATTCTTAAGTAATTTCCTTTATTGATGTTTAGCTTGAGAACTTAATTGGTGCAAAAGAACTTGCTCAAAAATTTGTTTTTGAAGATGAGATCAAATGAAGATTATATTTCCGATCTGTGTCAGCTCTACTTCTGAGATCTTTTAAAATACATGTACAGTAAAACATGTTTATACAAGCAATTTTCATGATTCTGAATTTATAAGTATTTTATGTCCCCAATTTACCATTTTAGAATTTTATAAGCAAAATCAGAATGCTTTACAGTACATGCACATGTAAACTGTAAAGATTGCAACAGTATATTTTCTGAATATACATATCTGTAGAAGTTAACATTTTTATGTACCTCACAATAAAAAACAATCAAATATATGTATAATGCTATTTGTTTATTTGTAACGATTTCAGTTAACAACCATAATATAATACATGTATGTGTACATCTTGTTTCTCTATTCTCATGAAAAACAGGGCAAATGCTTGAACTTGTGGAAAAGAGAAAACTGGGTTAATTGAGAAAATGTGAAAATTGGAAAATATAAGGCAACTTGGTCAACATAATGGCAAATCAAAATATGAAAAAATGGAGTATGAGAAAATCTCTTTACAGATATATTTGAAGTCTGATGATCATGATTCTACATAAAAAAACTTGAATAATTATATTTTTAAATATTGTAGTAATAATTTACATTTTTACATGTACAATATTCATTAAAATTGCATTTCGCTCATGCTGAATCATGAATCCATATAACTTTAATCATGCAAATATCCCAACTGATTTCTAAATACGACGTACATAACATCTACGAAACATTATTATCATAATTATGTGAACTGATATATCAATCAAAATAATCCCAAAAAATCTAGTACAATCTAGAACCATTTTCTTCTGGATGTATCTATGAACAATAGCATATCCCCAAACCAGGCCAGAATTATATTCAAATCATATCTGTATATAGTGACGGTCAAACTGTTTATTTAATCTTAGCCAAAATGGCTGATCTCCTATCTGTATTCTGAAACAACGCCCTGATTAATTGTTTAATTTCTCCAGCAGAGAACTCATGTGCCAAAGGACCCTTCCCATCAGTCCAACGATCAGCAATATCATGTAAACTGGCGTTCAGCACTAACATCAACTCCATGAATTTCTGCCACTTTTGAACACTTTTATTCAAGTTCATTCTCGCATGCTCTTCTTCACCGGTGAATTTGAAGAGCTCCAATCCGCGATCTCCAATCATTGTGAGGAGCATATGAAGCTGTGTAGCATCCTCTGCTGATATATCTTCAAGTTGTGTAACGGAGCCGATGATTTCTGATATCACTGTGTTAAGTAGGGTACCTGAAAATGAATCAAAGATTCTTGTAAAGCTTCTACACAAGGCATAACAACAATATATCACAACTTGTAAATGGCTACAAAAGTGTAACAAATTATAACAGAAGTCAAGCACCTGAGCACTGATGGCCAATACCAAACCCTCTTTATTATTAAACCCTGATTTATACATTCAACAGAAATCACCATGTTAGGAATATCATGTCAGAAAGATTTGCTCAACAATTCTACTGTTTAATCATAATTCAACAAGAAAATATGAGTCAGGTGATACTGTTCTAAATGGTAGATCACCACTTGTGGTGACATAAAAAGGCAGAATGTGTACCCATGCTCTTTGAATAGATGTTCACGGGCAGAACTTCATTCCAGACTTTGCTGACGTGTTGCAACTGATGCAGACATTGTTTAATTGCACGTTCAGCTGCCATGAAGTTCTGTTCATCAGCGACTCCATCAAATCCTGAAAAAATGAAATATACATAAATTCATTTGATTATTTTTCAACAAGTTACAATTTATTTTTTAACAGGCTGATTGAACACTGAAAGGGTATATGCTCAATGTATTTTATTTACATGAAAACTACATTTAAATAAGCACTTATAACATGTTCAATTTTCAAGAATGGAGAGTGCGGAATTAGGCTTTAAAATTTCTATATGTATATGCAACAGGCATGTACCTTTAGCACCTTGTATGTACTCTAGGAGAACTGTTCTCTGTGCTGACATCTGTTCCATAAAACACTCAGCCCCGAGACGTCTCAACTTTGGTACCATATCAACAAACGTAGATGCACCACTGTTCAATGGTTTAGGCAGCCTCAGTTTGAACTGGAACCCTAGTGTCATCAGGTGGTGCGCTATATATAAGCAGTTATTGTGATGGAGAGCTGAAACGTATAAAAGAAATAATGAAATATGTATAATCATGTTTTAAGTATTAATGACCTAGTTTGGTTCTGAGGAACAGTGTTTCCTGTCTCTGTCGGGACATTTCCTAATGTACAACATTAAGGACAAGGCTAGAACGAGGCAGACAGGCATGCCACATATTGACAGCATTCAAAATCATATTTCTGCATTGATTCCATGTAAATTACTTTACTGCACACATGCAGATAATTTATCTTACCAGCGATTTGGGGCAGCTTGACCAGGCTATCTTTATGATAAGTTGGTACAACGCAGCAGTAGAGTTCAAACATGTTCCTGATGGAGTAGAACAACTGGACTGCACACTCTGGGGAACTAACACTGGCCTCTTGTAGAGTCTCATATGCCAGAATCATGATCTTCTGTACAGACTGGCTGGAATCAGAATATAAATATGCAATTTGAAGTCTGATGTGGCACTTTGTTTGGATATTAACTGCAGGTCTTTTATTAAATCTTTGTGTACAATCATAACCAAATTTTGAGATGGAATTTTGGTATGAATCAATACAGGGATCTGTTCTTCTTTAATAATATTACAATTTTTACACTGTGAAAACTGAAAATTAGGAATTTCCATTTATATTTTGAAGAGGTCTAGTTTCTGAGAACCTACACATCATATAATATGCAAGTAATAAAGTAGGAAATTATGATTACATAAGCACTTCAAAAAAACTTGGGAGAATATTTTCAACAATTCAATTTACATGGGGCAATATATTTATGTATGTAAATAAAATTAACCGAATAGTATCAAAGAAGAATTCATGAATGTATTTATTTCCTGTTCATTGGAAAACAACCATCGATTCAGTGGTCATTGAGCAACAGAACAGCCCCAATTTATGCAGTGACTGAGGTCAATTTAATAATTTACATGTACATACCTTATATAACACTTAGGCATCTTGAATGTGTTCGTGCTAAGCTGGGCCTCCTTGGGAAGGTTAATTTCTGTCTTCGTTTTTCCATCCACCAGGACATTAGAGGGTGGTGGAAGAGCCCCCAGTGGGTCATCAGGAGATATTGGGACCATATTATGAATCTCTAGCTTCATCAACTCACGGGCTTGATCGAGAATTTCTTGGCATTTCTTGTTGGCAAAAAGAACATTGATTTCATTTACGTATTCACTGAGGGTTTTATTGGATGCATCTATAAAATTAATTGCGATTAATTTACCCTGGAAGCATTCAGTTGTGTCGATCACAGAGCTAAAACTGTCTAAATCCTTTCGATTTGTTGGGATGGCATTTGCTAGGCACTGTTTTATGACTTTTTCTATGAGCTCATCAGCCATTATCTGTCCCAGGATACGTATAGATGTACATTTTGCATCTTGTCCTTCTACATTTTCTATAGGAATACCAAGAGGACCTTCACTGATGAAACTGAAGAGTGCGTCAAGCTTTTTGGCAACATCTTCTGGAGAAGCTATTGTTAAATCCTTGGGGTCTTGGATTTGTAAGCTAATAGAGTGGTCAGATTTTTCAATTTTAATGTCAGCATTTTTGTACTTAATGACAGGGTCGATGACGTGTTCCATCAACTTACTAGCGAATGATTTCAATTTCATTTTCAAAATGTTTACGTCATTCATTGCTTGAACAACATTTTTTAAATCATTTTTACTAGTGTTTGTCGTTAAGAACTTCAGAAATATTCCTGCTTTCTTCACAGATTCTGAATCATGATCAAGTGGTATGGTCCAAACAACATTATCCTGCCAAGCCTCGCCAAGTGCCAATTTCAATTTTTCACTTTGAACCCGATGTTCAGTATGCAAACTTTTAATTATCTTGATTTCATTTTCACGGTCAAATGTTGATGTTTCCAGAATCTGGTCGATTTTGTTGAGATTTGTTACCGCCAAGATGAATTCCTTCTTCTGTAAGGCTATATCGACAGCATGAAGAGCATCGTGGACTACAACAAGTTTGTCAAGGATTGCTACGATTCCATTTGTTTCTTCAAGCTGGGTTGACAGATCGTGAAACTCACTTGTTGAGAGATTCAGTTGGGCTTGTAGCTGTAAATATATGAAATAAATGATTAACTCAAGATACATAAACAATTTTTCACTCTTCCCAGAAATCCCATGGAAAAAGATCAAAATTCTAGAATGCAAATCCATGGGGCAATGCGATTTTTAAGTGGCTCAATTTCCCTCCAAATATAGTTAAGTACTACAACAAAATGTGACTTACAATACATGTACTGTAGGGCTATATTAAAAACCATTCTTTTCTAAAATATTGAAAAAATGCTACTTATTAATCAGCAAGAGGAGTGTATCTTATAGAATCTTTTAATGTGATAACAACAATTGAGGCAAGAAATGTTGATTTCAAACATCGATTGCTGCATAAAAAAACAATGTATAAAATCATATCAATAGTAGGGATGTCACGGGACAAACTTACTATGGGACAGGACGGGAATAATCCATTTCAGGACAGGACTTTCGGGACGAGACAGGACGGGACATAACCAATAAAATAGTTAATCACAGTCATACAGTCAGTACATGGGGGTTGTACCGTCCCGTCCCGAGACCAAAATCCCGGGGGACGGGACAATACTGGGAAACTGTGACTTCCCTAATCAATAGTGTTATTTACATGTGGTGATGAATAAGGAAATCTAGTTTTTAGAAGTTTTAGGTTGAGGCATTAAGTATACAAATAATATGAAGGGTATATTCAAAACTTACTTCTCGTTCTATCTTCCCAGTGACAGTCTGCATATCATTAGAGACAGCATTCACCTTGCTACTCAGCTCAATGGTAGCATCAAGATTTGGGTAAAAATCACCATAGTGTTTCTGTAGACTATCATACACTTCCGCTTTCACCTCTTCTATTCTCTTTGAGAGACGTCCTAGCTTTGACGTTATGTCTTGTTTTTCAAGCTGGCCTGAAAATTGTGTTATAGATCATTTAAAAATTGTGTTGATGTAGATAAGAAGAATTTTACAATTAAATCTGAATACGAAATTAAAACATGTTAACACATACATACTAGCTTTTTCTAGGTCTTGGGCATATCTCCCTATTATGAACCATTAGAATTTCGTGGTAATTGTAATTTGCAAATTTTCCGAAACTCACAAAAAACACTGCGTGCGAAAAATTACCTTGAGTACAGTTATAATTTTAAGTTATTTTGTTTACATTGAGATCTCCCCAGCATTTAATCAAGTGGGTGCTACACCCTACTGAAAATCAGTTTGCACCCTGTCAAAAGGGTGAAATATAGTACATCACTGTTGGGACTAAGCAGCTTTAGAAAGAACCCTGAAATAAATTCACTTATTTGTTCACTGGGACAGCAATAAGTGACACATTTACCTGCTGTGGCCAAAACCTCCGTCACAAATGATGCCATGGTGATAATGATGTCATGCGCAGCTCGTCATCATTCTCAGTTGATTTGTAGGTGCTTCGGAACCTGAAATGACAAGTAAAACTTCTTATTGTAATGCTATGCATAACATAAGAAATTCACTGTCAATTTCAGCATGCAGTTTCTGTTGACAATGAAGTCTGGTTACATGTAATAGTGATGTAAAATGAACATGTTTCACCTCTGGATGACAATTGAGATTTCAACATGAGAAAATGTCACCTCCTGAAATGGTTCTAAAAGTAGAACTAGAAGAGATTATTTCTTGTTTGTGCAAATGACTTGTGTATTCAGACCACTTTCAATCCACTTAGCTGACTGAGTTATACTTAATAAGCACAAGCGAAACCACTGCACTGACGATGCTAACACAAAAGCACAACACATCAACAATATTATAACATAAAATATATTGTTCTTGATATATCAACTGATATGTGTCATATGCTCATCTCAGTTCTTAGTAACTTCCCAAAAACATGTACAATTCCAAGTTCATTCATGTCGAGCATATATATATTATGTGTAAGACATAAACTTGGTTTAACATAAACAGGATCTATGTTGATCTTGTCTTTATACAGAAATAACAAAGATAACCGCAGAGATTCAAATTCCCTCATCACATGTTCTCGTATAAAACATTTACAAGATGGCCATGCATAGATTTATGCTCTAAGGCCCCTTGCTACTTGACAGAACAAGTGTTTATGGGGTGTGCAAAACAGGACAGAGTAGCAAACTAAGATATTGTGGTAAATAAAAAGGAAACTGTTACAGGACTTGATCTAACAGAAAAAAAACACTAGGTCCAAGCCAAGTTATGACGTTTGTGGGTTTGGAATTAGATGCCAAGAAGCGAGACGCTCGACTACCAATTAAAAAAGTCAAGACCACACCATCCTCATATAAGAAAATACAAAAAAATAAAATAACAATAGAAACCATATAACTGTCTTCACCTTATTTCTACTTTTAGTAACTTACATTAAAAGGTCCAATTGTGGTCTATATCGCATACTTTTACTCTTATTTACAAAATACACTTTTAAAACTTTTCATATTGCCTGCCATTTTAGGGGTCCTCCCTTGACCTCTGGTCAAGAATATAGTTCCCGGGGTTTTCTTATGGTTTTGCTGGGACTGTTGCTTTTAGACACATTTCATTCCCGCAAAGGTTTAAATAACCTGTTTTGGGGAATTGTTAGTGTGTTTCGAGCGGCAGGTTGGGCAAGGATTGGGAAATAATCCGGCGGACTAATTCTGTTAAGCGGAGTCCAAGTGAGCAAGTGAGGAGGAAAGTGACAGTAATACGGTCGCGATCTGAATGCTGGAAGTCGCAAAGTTTTATGCTCTCGTTCTACATGAATATACAGGGTGACCCAAAAAAAATGCAACCCTCCATTTCTTCAATATTTTTCTCGAATGGAGGTTAATTGCTCTGAAAGTTGGCACACAAAAACTTCATTCAATGTGGGATCCCCTGGCAAAGTTTCAATAATCATAGTCTTATATTGATAGAGTTATGGTCGTTCCAAAATATGCTCCAAATGTCGTCCATTTCCAATGTTAGGTTTTCGGATGAATAACATTTCCTTCTTTCTGAACATGTAAACTCAAGAAATAATGTGTTCTGGGATCACAAATTCCAGATGAAGTGCTTCAAAGGTCCCTTCATTCTGCTAAATGCACAGCTTGGGCTGCCAATTTCCAAACGTGAAATCACCAGCCCCTTTTGGTTTGAGGTTGATAATGGCAACACTGTTACTGTTAACACACAGCGCAATATCGATGTTCCCAGGAAGTTCTAGGCAGTTCTAGAATGACATACAGGCTTCAATAGACAAGAACAGTGGTTCTAGAAGTATGGAGCTACTCCTCACACTTCTTATGATAGCATAGCCTGGCTCACTAGTCATTTCTATGAGAAGATTATCTCTCATAGGATAGAGAACCCATGGTCATCCCAACGTCTTGATCTCAATGCCACTGACTTCTATATATGGGGTTATTTAAAGGATAATGTGTATGAAAATAACCCTACCACAATTGCAGAACTCCAACAAGCAATTGCTGCAAAAATTTGAGCCATACTCATGGGGAAAAATGCATCCGTGTTATGAACAGTTTTCCTTGAACATTGCAAGTTTGTTTTCAGCAAAATTGACGATATCTGGTGCATATTTTGAAACAACCATAACTCTATCAATATAAGACTATGATTATTAAAACTTTGCCAGAGGATCCCACATTGAATAAAGTCCTTGTGTGCCAAATCTCAAAGCAATTAATCTCCATTTAAGAAAAATATTGAAGAAATTGAGGGTTGCATTTTTTTTGGGTCACCCTGTACATCTGGATTATTACATTTCGTAAAACAATTATTTGGATATAGACTACAACATTGATAGAACCTTCTCAAATGGAGACAGATCAGCTAAACTATTCGTTGGCAAAGTATCTTAGTAAATTAACCCTTTATGTTCCGAGTCAGTTTCACTTTACTATTCACAAAACTCATTTGAACAGCCAGTAACCTTGCCAAATTCTTTCATAATTATTAGGGGGAGATAATTGAACTGATCTTTTACTTGTGCATGGTTATTTTCGTGCAATTTTACTGGAAAACTTGGATATATGCTTCTTGAAACGCACTTATAGGGTCAAGGTCATTGTTAGTACATTTTAAGTACTTAGGCTCATTTTAAGTAAGTGTCTAGACACTGAGAAGCTCCATTTAAGTAATCTTTCAAGCATGATTTAAGCATCGGTGTTAAGATTCTACACTTTGCCATCAAAGTTTTTTCAAGTTACTTAACTGTATAACATAACTTGATACAAGTATAACTTAACTTGATAACTTTATAAACTGGAACCACACTGATCAGCTGTTTGCAAGTTTGAAAGGAATAGAATTGTTTTTATAAATATTTTATAAAAACTCACTGAATTTACTTCTTGCGTTTGACTGTTTATACTATAGGTTATAAAATTCTGCCCTCATTTGATATAAAGTAGATTCTTGATTCAAAATAAACTTCTGACTACATGTAAATTCCAGATAACTTAAGTGAAACTAACATTCAAGCAACAAGCTTTATCTTAGCTCATATTTGCTAATAGTGGGGGGAATTTACCCCTATATTTGGCAGAATATTTCAGATGGTGATACAAGTATAAAATTTTGCTTTTCTGCTACTTCAAACCTTTTTAAAAAAATCTGTCCCTGTGATCAATGGATTTTTTTTACTTTTTCCCCCCAAAATCCAAGATGGCCGACATACTATAGCGCGGAAAATATATTTAGCTCTGATTTGGCAAATACAGCTGTAATATAAAGTTTAAATTGTGTTTTCAGGACTAAATGCACTAATAGGGACATCACATAATACATGTTATGAGCTTAAGTCAAAATAAATAATTATATGGGAGTTAAGCAAGGTTCATTTCTGGCCCCCCTCTTATTTTGTTCATTTATAAGTTTGTATAACCCTACTCCTATGAATTAAACATAATTAGTAAGACTGTTCTTAAATTTTAGATTTTTATGCTCTGCTACATATCAAATTAGTTTGTATAAATGACTGTAGCCTAAAGAATTGAAGGATTTTCACAAATAAATGGTTTATCGAGTACAGACATTTACCATACATTCACAATTACAGACTATTACAGCGACATCAGGACAACTAAAAGCAAATTCAATTATTCATTAAATTTTGGTTGAGGTTAAAAACATTAATACAGTCCATCAATGTATTCTATGCATTATTGAGTATGAATATGAAATATGTGGTTTTCCGTGACTCGTCAGTAAGGAGGAATGAAATACCAAGCAGGAAGGTGATGTGAAATTTGAGTAAAATTTGCAAAATTTAATCTAACAAAAATCTACCATTATTTGTAGAATTTTGATTAAATGTAAAATATTAATTCATCCCATAAATATATCTTATGCATTCTTTCACGGTGTCCAACCCAAACGCTCTTACATGCACAATGGAATGTTTCATCCACGCGGAAACGGGGCTAATGAAGATCCCACTTTGACTGTAAGTATTGTTTCATTAGTTTCTCTTACATATCACGCGTTATGGTGACATATTATGTACCATTCGATGAACAATACCCTGATCAAAGCTCCATAGTGTAGATCAAACAAATCTGAAGTTGACGAATTGACCACAAATTACGAATTAAATTAGTATTTATATGAAATTTGCTCTAAAACATAAAACTATTGACAAATAAACAAAAAGTTTATATGTGAATTAATCTTTCTTCTTTTGATGCCAAGGGATACAATAGACCTTTTCTTTCTCTCCTTGAAAAGGAAAGTTGAGCCTAGTACCGCAGTGTTTCCAGTTCACTGTGTTAACCAGATCGCAGCATTTCTTGAATATGAGAATGTTATCATTTTTAAGACTTGATTTTTTGTTATCAAATCACGATTACGATAATGTATGGTTTGATCAAGGTTTGGAATTTGACCAAAATATACTCGGATGCTCAACTCAACTAGTCGCATGTCTCGACAAACAGGGTTTTGACCGGAAGAATGACAAATACGTTTATGAATTTTGATAACTATACTGCTTAAGACAGCTCTTCCTAATTGCTTCAAACGTCGACAGCCATCCAAGTACAATATATCACACCTATCAAATGGTATACTTGAAATAAGTAACACATACTTCTTATTCCCATCATTGGGGAAATTGTCAGATGACTCATCATTTCAATTCGCCATACTCCAGAGCGTTTCTTTGTTTAGGTTCAGTAATGAAACCCTCAATCTTGCATGTAAGAGCGTTTGGGTTGGACACCGTGTCCTTTAATTGTGAAAATCAAATATGTGGGATGTCATGACTCCTCAGTAAAGAGGAAGGAAACGATTGGAGGGAAGATAATTTAAAATTTGGGTAGGAATTTGCTAATGAGAAATTAAATCTTCCAAAATTTTACAATTATTTTGAATTTTTAAATTATCACAATTTCTAAATAATATTTAATGAACATTTAATTTTGTAATGTGTGGGGCTAAGGCCATGGATGGTTTTTTAAGAATAAACAAAAATGAATATAAAATATGGTAAAAAAATCTATTCTAACATTTTGCAAACATGACATATCTGCAACAACTGCATATACTAGGGCAACAGCCCAACTCATATGTGGGTGTTTTCCATATACAGAACAAGTGAAACAATTGATATAAATACACCCAGAAAGTGCTTATTTTGCAAAAAAAGAAAGACCAATCGAGAGAATTCCACCTACTCACATGCCTTGGAATAGCACATTAAAGGAACAGCTTACCAGGCTGGTGTAGTTTGGGGACAAATGCTAAATGCTTCACCACCTGGCCTTTACAACTACATCAACTGGGGATGGGACAATAATGAAACTGTTACCCCACTGTGGACAACCCAGACACAGTCCTCCAAAGCCTGCCAAGCTCTTGTACAATGTTCATATAAAAAGCTATGTTCTGTATTCACTTGTAAAAAGCCAGGACTTACATTTTGTGACAGTTTTTATGAAATTGAAATTATAACAGAGTAAAAAAGATCCATGTGGAACTCCTTCAAAGGCTATTTTGTATTTGGAAGACAATAATTTAATTTGAACCTGAAATATAAGATAAAATGATGTTTGAAATATTATCTTTATTCAAGAAAACAGGTTCATTTACTTAAAGGAATATTCCTTGCCAGACCCTTTCTCTCTTGATATGGTAGCTATAGTCATATATATAGTTTCCATATTTAGCAAAACATGGGAAAATGTTTTAATATGGTCAATATTGATAATTTAAAAATCTCGTGCTTATTTCCAGTGAGCTGCCATCTTTTAAGATTTCTTGCAGGAAGTGATGTCATCAACACTCAACTTCTATAACCCTGCCCATAACAGTATAAGAAAGTAGCACAAAATCACTTCTAGACAAATGATCATTACTTTCTGTGCAAAAATATTTTCAGGGCTTGTCAACTTAGAATAAAAGAAGAGATTTTCAGAAGGATTAAATAAGATACAAAGTTGAAAAAGAATATTTAGCTGGTTTTGTAATTCTTAATAGCTCCTCACCTAATGCTATATGCAAAGTTGAGAGTCGATGACATCAATTCCTGTGTGAAATTTTAAAAGATGGCAGCTTACTGGAATTGAGCATCACATTTCTAAGTGATCAAATTTGACCATATCAAAACATTTTTGCGTGTTTTGCTAAATATGGCAAGCATAAATATGGTTATGGCTACCATATGAGGAGAGAGATGGTTTGGCAAGGAATATTCCTTTAAGTTGTTGCAAAATAAGAGCCCTCTCAAAATACTAGATGTAAACAACATGCTTTACTGCTAAAACAGTATTATTTTTAAACCACATTTATCTCTATATATGAATCTACAGTAGTGTTATTTGTACCAAATTATGCGTATATGGTGGCCATTTTGAATTTTTTTGGTTATGGCTACCATATGAGGAGAGAGATGGTTTGGCAAGGAATATTCCTTTAAGTTGTTGCAAAATAAGAGCCCTCTCAAAATACTAGATGTAAACAACATGCTTTACTGCTGAAACAGTATTATTTTTAAACCACATTTATCTCTATATATGAATCTGCAGTAGTGTTATTTGTACCAAATTATGCGTATATGGTGGCCATTTTGAATTTTTTTGGAAATACTGTTCGGTTTTATCGATCACAGGGATGAAATTTTTCCTAATAGCATAATAACAGATGTAAAAAGTCAGGACATACATGTACAGACTTGTGCAATTGCACATGCAATTCTGTATAAGTCATTAACATTTTATGACAGTATATATGAGATTGTGATTATAACCATGTGGAACTCCTTTAAAGGCTATTTTATACTTGTAAGACAATAATTTAACTTGAACTTGAAATATTAGATTGAAAAGATGTGTGAAATATTATCTTATTCAAGAAAACAGGTTCATTCACTTCAATTGTTGCAAAATAAGAGCCCTCCCAAAATAGAACCTTGTAGAATCCCTATATAAAGTCATTTTGTCCAAATTCAAATCATTAATGAATGTGACTGTATTTCTAGATGTAAACAACATGCTTTACTACTGAAATAGTATTATCTTTAAACCACATTTATCTCTATATATGAATCTATAGTGTTATTTGTACCAAATTATGCATATATGGCGGCCATTTTGGATTTATTTTGAAATGGTGTTCGGTTTTATCGACCACAGGGATGGAATTTTTCCTAATAGCATAATAAGAGATGTAAAAAGTCAGGACTTACAAATACAGACTTCAGTTGTTGCAAAATAAGAGCCCTCCCAAAATAGAACCTTGTAGAATTCCTATATAAAATCATTTTGTCCAAATTCAAATCATTAATGAATGCGACTGTATTTCTAGATGTAAACAACATGCTTTACTCCTGTTCCAATATTATTTTTAAACCATATTTATCTCTATATATGAATCTAGAGTGTTATTTGTACCAAATTATGCCTATATGGCGGCCATCTTGAATTTTTCTTGAAATAGTGATCGGTTTTATTGATCACAGGGATGGAATTTTTCCTAATAACATAAATAACAGATTAAGCCATTAAATTTGCTTGTATCACCAATTGAAATATTTTCCAGCAAATTCCCCCCACTATAAGGGCTTCTTTGAATAATAATCACTCGCAATAAGTCATACATATATTTTCCCAGAATTACTCAATAGGTACAGATAAAGTACAATCAAGGATCTTACTTTCTGATTTAACCCTTGTCTTATTGATTATATTAATAAGAATTTCATTCACCCTGGTTCCTAGTCGTTACGCCAAACATCATTTACTTCCACTGTTTTGTTACTTGTGTGTTTAAATGGTGAACTAGTAAAATTATACTCTGGTGAGTTTGACCATGGGCTTTCAACTAGTCTAGTTGAAAGCCCATGGTTTGACAGACTCTTGATTTGAATAGCCTACTTTAATTCTTACAAAATTGCCCACTTTAAGTGTGAACAGTAAGCTTTATATACAGCTCGAAGTCCATCGTAGCCCTCTATTGGCTAAGACTTCCACCTGGTTATACTCACACCCAGACTTGATACTTATTTGGTACAACTTAATACTGGGCCCATTTAGAATCTGGAGTCTGTTGCTATTTGCCTTTATGAGATATACAACTTACATTGAAAACTGACAAATCTTACTTAGTCTATATTCAGATATTGGTATCCTGTAACTGTCATCCCGAAATTATCCAGGAGACACGAAAATATGTATCCCACAATGCAACAAAAAAGGACAAATTTTGATTGGTCGATTATATCCCAAAATGCATTTTGCATCCTTATTGCAAATGGCCGACAATAAATCTAAAAAAAATGTGAAAATACGACTAAAATCATGGATAATCCCGATAAAGCTACAGTTTCGCAACTCAAATCATATCTGAAGGACTAAGGAGTAACAAATTCAGGGTATCGTCGTTCGGAATTGATTAACCTCGTAAAAACAAGTGCAGAAACCAGACTTGAACAACTTCAAAAACTCACGGAAAACAGCTTTTCAACTGTAAATTTGAGAACGGTTGGAGATGTCGTGTATTTTGACCCAGAACAAGGTGGTCAGTGGTCAGACAATCTAAATAAAAAAATGCCGCCTGTTGATCTCTCTCACTGCTTAACATATGCCAAGACTAAGTGTTGCTGGGGTGTGAAAAGACTGATAAACTTTCAAAAAGATGATGGCTTTAGACTTTTCCAGACAGGATTTATAAATGATGTCAAAATAGCAAATGCAGGAAACAACCATGTATTCATCAAATCAACATGTACACGAGAGACCTCTCTAAATGAGGCACCATACAAAGTATGAGTGCAACTGAACACCAATGGAAATTGTCTCTGTACATTGCTATTGCCCAGCGTAAGTTATGCTTACAGAAAACATTTGTTGTTGTAAACTTTGAATCCTATCACAATAATCCTAATGACAGTTTACTTTATTTTGACATGTTAAATTGTTTATATTTTACATGACATGGTTCGTTGTCGCTGTTTAATATGATTCTTTATAAATTCTGAATAAAAAAGCCTAACTTGATAAAAACTGTCTCAGTTGAAGTTTACCTTCCCATGGTGAAAAAACATGTAGTTTAATCATATTAATTATTTTTGCTTCCAGGGGAACAAGCGATACATGTAAACATGTCATGGCCCTTTTGTTTTCTTTGAATGCTTTCCATGAGAGACATCTCGATTGTAGTCTTGAGACCTGCACCGACAAAGCTTGTAAATGGGACAAACCTCTCAAAGTTTCGAAGCCACAACTTTGGAATGATATTGATTTATGTCTCGACGACTCAACACCTCATCCCAAAAAAACCAAGATTGATACATACACACCATATTCTGAACATATGATAAGAGACAAGGAAAATGAAAAAAACTATTATCGGTAATCAAAGATTCATCAATAGATGAAAATGATTGCATGGCATAGCATATCTTGGGCTCTGATTCCGAGTAGGATTGTGATGATGACAAACGCCATGTTGATATATTATCTGTCCCGGATTTAGTTAGAGGCATCAACCACAGTGATTTTGTGGTAACTCTGAAAGATTATTACACTAAGGACAGGTGTGATGAAATAGAGGTGTTGACGCGTGGTCAATCTGACAATGAGTATTGGAGGAAATATCGCACCGGCCGTATTACATCTTCAATAGTTCATGCCATCAGTCATGCTACTGACACTACCATGGCAAAGAAAGACAATTATTTGCTAAAGAAAATCCATAGTCAAGAACACTTTACCCCAGCTGCAACTGATTTTGGTATTAAGCACGACGATGAAGCCAGGATCCTTTATCAGTCTTCCATGAAAGAGAAACACAAGAAATTTCAGTGTAAACAATCTGATTTTGTGAAAAACCACTCCCTTCCTATTTTGAGTGGAAGTCCAGATGGTGTCATCTCTTGTGAATGTTGTGGAAGGGGACTTTTAGAAATCAAGTGTAGTTATAAGTACATGTATAGGAATGAATTTACGGAGAAACAATCTGGTTATAAGTGCTACTTTGATGAAGGTAAATTAATTTTAAAAAAGAATACTAACTGGTATAGTTTTGGGAGTGGTGACTTATACCATGTCTTGAGACATCACCCGTTGTGAACACGCATCAAGTCATGCAATCTGTGTCAAAAGGTGAACGGTCTCGTTTAGGGGACCTGGGAGATATAGTCTAGTGTCTAAGCTTCCCCGAACCACCGTCAGTGATTATGTGACAGGTAGAGTATATTTAGTTGATCCTAGGATGATGACATTGGTTGCTATTGTATTTTTACAGGAAAATCATATTAGATTGTATTTTTACAGGAAAATCATATTAGATTGTATGCACTGAAAAAATCGGTTTGGTGAATCATATTGTCCCTTCTTATCGCTATGTATAATAATAATCATATATTATAATATATTTCAAAACAACTGCTATGTCTTTTGATGCACTGTTCATATCAAGGAATAAAATGATATAACACCAAATTTTAGTCGGTGGTAGTACTAGTATGTCTCATTCATAAAAATATTAAGATAACACTCTATAACATATGTTTTAGATTCCCAGTTTGACTAACTGCAAATATAGGAATCTAAGTTATAGGTTTTGAAATGTATTTTCAGCATAGAACTCAAGGTAGAATGGGCAAGTTGGCCGATGAAACCCAATTTGTGGCTGTTCATCAAGAAATTGAAGTTGACACCCCTATTTATGGCTGTTAAAGAAATTGAACATTGGGTGTCTCCCAACCACACCATCCCTTCTTCAGGTTTTGCCAAGTGCATGCAAATCCCACTATGGACGTTTTGAGAAATGTGGAAATTGTAGAAATGGTCATGCTAAACTGTCAAGTGCCAATGCCACAAAGCTCATCGTAATATGAAAACTTCAACGAAAGGAATGTCCATGCACTTCTAACTAGACCAACTAACTTGGGGATGTACTTTTTGGGAGCTTAATATAAATTGTTTTCTATACAAATATATTTAGCAAAGAATTCTATGGCCATTGAATTAGAACAGCAGCTATAGAAGATGTAGACATCAGTGTTTGACCCTTAGAAAAGATGGAACCGGGAGAGATCTGGGTCAGTTCTATATTATGCACATATCACTGGTGAAAAAGGATAAGATTTCCTTATATCCTCCAGCAAAAAAAACTTCTTCAATTTCTGATTATTGAGTAAAAGATTAAAAGTTATTCCTCTTCTACAAAGATATATGGCAGAAAATACAAACTGTTGAAAGATTTTAAAAACCAGGCAGTTGTCGGGGTGAGTTAGATTACCCCTATGGTGTCTGCACAGATGGATCCATTCACATCCTGGTTGCAGACATGGACAACAACAGGGTACATCTGAAACTTGATGGAAAATTCCAATGTATCTGTTGACCAAGGAAGATGGTACGATCTGTTGCCTTCAACCAGGAGGGGCAGCTGGTAGTGGGAGACAGGAATGGTAACATCTTCACTGTTACAAACAGGAAGTGAAGTAAATTATAGGAAACAAAACATTTAGAAATTAGTAAATATCATCTAAAACTGCATTATTATAAAATTAGAAAATATCATCTAAAACTGCATTATTACAGACTTTATTATACTTCCAGTGCTAAATAATGAGCCAAGCCATTTAACCTTTTGCATGCTAACTTAATTCAGCAAATATATCCCACGCGACTGACTTATTTTTCAAAGAGTGCAAAAAATGATATGCCTGGACTAAATAATTAATATCTCAATAACTACTGAATGAATCTCGATAAAATTTTCACAAAGAGAAGATACATTGGCCTGGCTCATGAAAAAAATGTTCTAATGAATTTTTTACATAAATAAACAGGACTGGGCATAAATATACCATGAATACTCCTCCGGAATCCGCCGCTTCGCCCCTGTGGAGATTCAACGTCTGGTCAGAATCCAAAACTGAATTTGCAGCGATCAAATGTTCATTTTTCAGTTCAGAAAATATTCTAGTTTCTATTTACGATGACCATTATCGGCTTCCAAGAGCCTAAAGAGCTCGAAATCGCGATCCATTTCCTCCACATGTTCGTTGTGATCGTATTTGGCCGCCATTTTGTACGATTTGTTCACTAAAAACGACTTAAACACTGTTTAAATCGTTGAATTAAGAAATATTTTTCGAAACATCGCCATTTCTAGGTCAACAGGAAGTCCCAACGTAAGGACTAAATAAATCGGGCAATCTGATTGGATCATAAGTCCGGCGGGAAAAAGTTAAGTTTTTGAAAGTTTAAATTCGACTGGAGTCGCCGGCAGTTGCCGGGGATTGTTAAGCACGGGCGACTACGCTCGCCGGTAGCATGCTAAAGGTTAATGTGTACACTGGAATGTTCAATATCTAAGAAAAAGAGAACCTGCAGCTGAGCTAAAGCTAAAGGGTATTACATCAACCCCTGCAGGTGAGCTGCTGGTGTGGGATGCAGCCACCAAGACAGTGTACCGTGTGAATCCATCCAATGAAGACATGACTTCTCTGTAGAAGCCAGATACATTCAAGGACCCTTACTATGTGGAATCAACCACAAACAATGTCATCAAAGTTAATAACTACAATACTCATTGTATTAAAAGATTGGATAGAGATGGAAGTGTTGCTTTTACGTATGGGAAGCCAGGCAGTTGTCATATGGTGTCTGTACAGATGGATCTGACCACATCCTGGTTGCAGACATGGACAACAACAGAGTAAATCTCCTTAACCATTATGGTAAATTCATTCCTTATCTGCTGACCAAGGAAGATGGTTTGTACAACCCACAATCTGTTGCCATCAAGCAGGAGGGGCAGAAGGTAGTGGGAGACAGGAATGGCAACATATTCACTGTCACATACAGGAAGTGAGGTAAATAGAAAACAAAACATTTGAAAAAAAATGATTACATACCATCTAATACTGGTTTATTACATGCATATAATGTTTAGAAATACATTATTTATTATACTAAATGATTTCAAATTAAGAAAATTATATATTCAGTGATTTTACATCAAAAGAGATCAAAAGTAAGACTGCCTGTGCTAAATGTACCAAGCCACTCCTAGGTCACTCTTTTGTAAACCATTTGTCCAATGCCCACCTGCCCTTCCAGGTTTTGAGTTTACTTTGCATGTATTGCCATGTGCGAAAGTACCACGGGTTAGGAGCAAGATAGCGAGAACGCACGATAGACTCAATATAGACGCTAGCCTGGTGCTACTCCAAATAGGGGAAAACGACATTCCAACCCCTTCCAGGAACATTCTTACATCCCCTCCCTCCCCTTCCCTTTCACCCTTTTCCTCCCCGAACCAGCTGGCTGAGGATATTACCAGACATATTGGCTTTCAATCCCATTGTGGACACTGTCATCATTGGGTCTCTGTTTCCCAGGGGGTGGTCTAAGTCAGACAAATTTCTCAATAGATTGCAACATTCCAGTGGACTCGCTATGTGGCATCAACAACATCTGATGTCATCATAGTCAGCAACATGGAGGCTCATTGTATAAAGGCTTGGATAAAGATGGCTGGGAAGTTTTTAAATACGGGAAGGACGGCAGTGGTCCGGATGACTTATACAACCCCTTTGGTCTCTGTACAGATGGATCAAACCACATCATAGTTGCAGACAACACCAACCTCAGGGTACATCTCTTGACCCCTGATGCTAAATTCATTCGCTATCTGTTGACAAAGGAAGATTGTACGATCTGTTGCAATCAAGCAGGAGGGGCAGCTGGTAGTGGGAGACAGGAATGGCAACATATTCACTATCACATACAGGAAGTGAGGTAAATAGAAAAAAAACATTTGAAAAATGAGTATATACCATCTAATACTGGTTTATTACATGGATATAATGTTCAAAAATATATTATTTATTATACTAAATGATTTCAAATTAAGAAAATTATATATTCAGTGATTTTTCAATCAAAAGAGATGAAAAGTAAGACAGCCTGTGCTAAATGTACCAAGCCATTTAATGTGTGTATTGGAAGGCTCAAGATCTTCCTAATTCCCAAGAGGTGGACAGGACTAAGGACTTGAGGGTCTGCAGCTGAGCTAAAGCTAAAGGATTTGAGTATCCCATTCCCCATCCCACCCCCTCATTCATCTGACCCTGTAACTAAAGTGGCCATCTTAGGTCACTCCCTTGTAAACCATTTGTCCAATGCCTCACCTTCCCATTCCGGGTTTTGAGTTTACTTTGCACGGATTGCCAGGTGCGAAAGTACCACGGCTTAGGACACATGATAGACTCAATATAGACGTTAGCCTGGTGCTACTCCAAATAGGGGAAAACGACATCCCAACCCCTTCCAGGAACAATCTTACATCTGCTCCGGGGTCCACACAAGCAAGACCCCCACTTTATACATAAAGAAAAAAACATCATTTATTCAATTTATTAATTATTATTCTGAAAATAAAAGATTTAAAGTTATGAATCTTCTACAATGATCTATTACAGAAAATACAAACTGTTGAAAGATCTTAAAAAGAACAACTCTCATATAACATCAACTTCACATGGCCAACTTGCATTTACCAACGTGACCAACATCATAAGTGTCTATGGTTTAGACAGGACCCCCAAATTGAACCTCATGTGTAGAAAACCTGCAGCTGAGCTACAGCTAAAAGGTATAACATCAACCCCTGCAGGTGGGATGCTTGTATGTGATCAACCCACCAAGACAGTGTACCGTGTGAATCCATCTACTGGAGATACGACTCCTCTCATCAAGCCTGGTACATTCCAGTAGCCTCGCTATGTGGCATCAACAACATCTGATGTCATCATAGTCAGCAACTTCAGTGCTCATTGTATTAAAGGCTTGGATAAAGATGGCCAGGAAGTTTTTAAATACGGGAAGGAAGGCAGTGGTCAGGGTGAGTGGCAGTATCCTAATGGTGTCTGCACAGATGGATCAAACCACATCATAGTTGCAGACAACACCAACCACAGGGTACATCTCCTGACCCCTGGCACTTTCTTTCATTCGCTAATTCAAACAATATATTTAACAAAGAATTCTATGACGATTGAATTCGAATAGCAGTGTTTGACCCTTAGATAAGATGGAACCAAGTTTATCTGGTCGGTCAGTTTTAATATTATCTATGTATCACTGGTGAAAAAGGATAAGATTTGTTAATATTCTCTATCAAAGCTACCTTTTCTTGTGAAATTTTATTATTATATATCATAGGCTTCATATGCAGCATTGGCTTTATTATGGCTAGCATGAACCGGTGACTTAGAGTATGGGCCTAAGTTGCATTTCTCTCAGCTGTAGATTATGAAATGTTTTTTGTAGTGAGATGAGGGTACCCAGAGTACTTCTTTTCGGGCACAGCCTTATAAAACAGATGGAAAAACCAGGAAAGAATTTATCCAAAGAGACCAAACAGAAATGTCTTTCATCGCTGGATCTTAAAGAAGATGAATACCTCTTACACTACGAGGGTGTGCCAGGTGGCAATTTGAAAAAACTTGATGACAGACCGATATGGGACTCTATGACTTACTTTGATACCATAGTTGCTCAAATTGCCGGGAATGATGTACAAAACTATGAAATGTCCCAGACAGAGTTAAATGATTTATTAAAGAGAGTTTAGGCGATGGTGAAGAAGATGCGCATGGTTTTACTTGAAATTCTTGTCAGTAGTAGTATGTCCCCTTCATTAAAGAATATTAAGATAACAATCTATAACATACATTTTAGATTTCCAGTTTGACTGCAAATATAGGAATTTAAGTTGTAGGTTTTGAACTGTATTTTCACCATGAAACTCAAGGTAAAATGGGCAAGTTGGCCAATGACACCCCAATTTGTACAATTTGTAATAGGAAAACTTCAACGAAAGGAATTTCCAGACCATTCCAACTAGACAAACTAACTTGGGGATGTGCTTTTTGGGAGCTTAATATAAATTGTTTTCTATACAAATATATTTAACAAAGAATTCTATGGCCATTGAATTAACACAGCAGCCATAGAAGATGTAGACATCAGTGTTTGACCCCTAGAAAAGATGGAACTGGGAGAGATCTTGGTTGGTTTTTATATTATGCAGGTATCACTGGTGAAAAAGGATAAGATTTCCTGATATCTTGCAGCAAAAAAAAAACTTCAATTTCTGATTGTTGAGTAAAATATTAAAAGTTATTCCTCTTCTACAAAGATATATGGCCGAAAATACAAACTGTTGAAAGATTTTAAAAATCCATTCACATTCACATCCTGGTTGCAGACAGTGACAACAACAGGGTACATGTCCTGACACCTGATGGTAAATTCGAACGTTATCTGCTGACCAAGGAAGATGGTATGTACAATCCTCCACATTCTGTTGCCATCATTCAGGAGGAGCAAATGGCAACATGTTAACTGTTACATACAGGAAGTGAGGTAAATTATAGAAAACAAAACATTTAGAAATTAGTAAATATCATCTAAAACTGCATTATTACAGAGTTTATTATACTTCCAGTGCTAAATAATGAGTCGAGCCATTTAATGTGTATACTGGAATGTTCAAAATCTTCCAAATTCCCAAGAGGTAGACAGGACTAAGAAATAAAGAGCATGCAGCTGAGCTAAAGCTAAAGGGTATAACATCAACCCCAGCAGGTGAGCTGATGGTGTGATTACACCACCAGTAAAGTGTATCGTGTGAATCCATCAAATGGAGACATGACTTATCTGAAGAAGCCAGATACATTCAAGGACCCTTACTATGTGGAATCAACCACAAACAATGTCATCATAGTAAGTATCTACAAAGACTCGTTGTATTAAAAGATTGGATAGAGATGGGAGTGTTGCATTTACGTATGGGAAGCCAGGCAGTTGTCAGGGTGACTTAGATTAGTCTGCACAGATGGATCCAACCAATTCCTGGTTGCAGACAATGACAACTACAGGGTACATCTCCTGACCCCTGATGCTAAATGCATTCGCTGTCTGCTGACCATGGAAGATGGTGTGTACAATCCACGATCTGTTACCATCAACCAGGAGAAACAACTGTTAGTGCGAGGCAAGAATGACAACATCTTCACTGTTACATACAGGAAGTGACGTAAAATATAGAAAACAAAACAATTGAAAAATGATTATATACTATCTAATACTGGTTTATTAAATGCATATAATGTTCAAAAATACATTATTTATTATACTCAATGATTTCAAATTAAGAAAATTATATATTCAGTGATTTTTCCATCAAGAGAGATCAAAAGTAAGACTGCCTGTGCTAAATGCAACATGTGCCAAGCCATTTAATGTGTGTATTGGAAGGCTCAAGTCTTCCTAATTCCCAAGAGGTGGACAGGACTAAGGACTTGAGGATCTGCAGCTGAACTAAAGGAGTTGAGTATCCCATTCCCCATCTCACCCCCTCATTCATCTGACCCTATAACTAAAGTGGCCATTCTAGGTCACTCCTTTGTAAACCAGTGACTTCAGTGCTCATTGTATTAAAGGCTTGGATAAAGATGGCTGGGAAGTTTTTAAATACGGGAAGGACAGCAGTGGTCCAGATGACTTATAGAACCCCTTTGGTCTCTGTACAGATGGATCAAACCACATCATAGTTGCAGACAACACCAACCTCAGGGTACATCTCTTGACCCCTGATGCTAAATTCATTCGCTATCTGTTGACAAAGGAAGATGGTACGATCTGTTGCCATCAAGCAAGAGGGGCAGCTGGTAGTGGGAGATGGGAATGGGAACATATTCACTGTCACATACAGGAAGTGAGGTAAATTATAGAAAACAAAACATTTGAAAAATGATTATATACCATCTAATACTGGTTTATTACATGCATATAATGTTCAAAAATACATTGTTTATTATACTAAATGATTTCAAATTTAGAAAATTATACATTCAGTGATTTTTCAATCAAAAGAGATGAAAAGTAGGAGTGCCTGTGCTAAATGTACCAAGTCATTTAATGTGTGTATTGGAAGGCTCAAAATCTTCCTAATTCCCAAGAGGTGGACAGGACTAAGGACTTGAGGATCTGCAGCTGAGCTTAAGGATTTGAGTATCCCATTCCCCATCCCACCCCCTCATTCATCTGACCCTGTAACTAAATTGGCCATCCTAGGTCACTCCTTTGTAAACCATTTGTCTAATGCCCCACCTGCCCTTCCGGGTTTTGAGTTTACTTTGCATGGATTGCCAGGTGCGAAAGTACCATGGGTTAGGAGCAAGATAGCGAGAACACAGACTCAATATAGACGCTAGCCTCCAAATAGGGGAAAACGACAACCCCACCCCTTCCAGGAACATTCTTACACCCCCTCCGGGTGTCCACACAAACAGGACCCCCACTTTACTTTGTTTACATGTCAGCTCTGGCATACATAAAAGAAAAAAACTTCATTATTCAATTTATTAATTATTGTTATGAAAATAAAAGATTTAAAGTTATGGATCATCTACAATGATCTAGGACAGAAAATACAATCTGTTGAAAGATCTTAAAAAGAACATCTCTCATGTAACATTAACTTCAGATGGCCATCTAGCATTTACCAACGTCACCAACATCATAAGTGTCTATGGTGTAGATGGGACGCCTGCATGGGGCATCACCTGTAGAAGAGCTGCTTGTATGTGATCCCACCACCAAGACAGTGTACCGTGTGAATCCATCTACTGGAGATACGACTCCTCTCGCCAAGCCTGGTACATGCCAGTCAGTGGCCTCGTTATGTGGCATCAACAACATCTGATGTCATCATAGTCAGCGACTTAGTGCTCATTGGATAGAGATGGCCTGGAAGTTTTTAAATACAGGAATAAGGCAGTGATCAGGGTGAGTGACAGTATCCCCATGGTGTCTGCACAAATGGATCAAATCACATCATAGTTGCAGACAATACCAACCTAAGGGTACATCTCCTGACCCCTGATGCTAAATTTTTATATTCTTATGCTCTTTCTTCTGAACCCTCTGCTGTTCCGGCTAACTCAAACAATATATTTCACAAAGAATTCTATGACGATTGAATTTGAACAGCAGCTATAGAAGATGTGGACATCAGTGTTTGAACCTTAGAAAAGATGGAACAAGGAGATCTGGTTGGTCAGTTTTAATATTATCTACGTATCACTGGTGAAAAAGGATAAGATTTGTTAATATTTTCTAGCAAAAAGAAAAAAAAAAAAAAACTTCATTATTAATTTCTGATTATAAAAATAAAAGATTTAAAGTTATGGATCTTCTACAACGATCTAGGACAGAAAATACAATCTGTTGAAAGATCTTAAAAAGAACATCTCTCATGTAACATTAACTTCAGATGGCCAACTTGCATTTACAAACGTCACCAACATCATAAGTGTCTCTGGTGTAGATGGAACCCCTGCAAGTGGCATCACTTGTAGAAGACCTGCTTGTATGTGATCCAACCACCAAAATAGTGTACCGTGTGAATCCATCTACTGGAGATACGACTCCTCTTGCCAAGCCTGGTACATTCGAGAACCCTTGCTATGTGGCATCAACAACATCTGATGTCATCATAGTCAGCGACTTCAGTGCTCATTGTATCAAAGGCTTGGATAAAGATGGTCGGGAAGTTTTTAAATACGGGAAGGACAGCAGTGGTCCGGATGAGTTATAGAACCCCTGTGTTGTCTGCACAGATGGATCAAAGCACATCATAGTTGCAGACAACACCAACCTCCTGACCCTGATGCTAAATTCATTCGCTATCTACTGACCAAGGAAGATGGTGTGTTCAATCCATGATCTGTTGTCATTTTGATATTCTTATGCCCTTTCTTCTTGACCCTCTGATGTTCCTGCTAATTCAAACAATATATTTCACAAAGAATTCTATGACGATTGAATTTGAAAAGCAGCTATAGAAGGTGTGAACATCAGTGTTTGACCATAAGAAAAGATGGAACCAGGGAGATCTTGTTGGTCAGTTTTTATATTATCTACGTATCACTGGTGAAAAAGAATAAGATTTGTTAATATTCTCTAGGAAAAAGAAAAAACTTCATTATTCAATTTCTGATTATTGAAATAAAAGATATAAAGTTATGAATCTTCTACAATGATCTATGACAGAAAATACAAATTGTTGAAAGATCTTAAAAAGAACATCTCTCATGTAACATTAACTTCAGATGGCCAACTAGCATTTACAAACGTCACCAACACTATGGTGTAGATGGGACCCCCGATTGGGGCATCACCTGTAGAAGAGCTGCTTGTATCGTATCACCAAAACAGTGTACCGTGTGAATCCATCTACTGGAGATACGACTCCTCTCGCCAAGCCTGGCACATTCCAGTGGCCTCGCTATGTGGCATCAACAACATCTGATGTCATCATAGTCAGCAACTTCAGTGCTCATTGTATCAAAGGCTTGGATAAAGATGGTCGGGAAGTTTTTAAATACGGGAAGGAAGGCAGTGGTCAGGGTGAGTTATGTGACCCTTTGGTGTCTGCACTGATAGTTCCAACAACATTATAGTTGCAGACAAGTTCCACAAAAGAGTATATCTCCTGATCCCTGAAGGTGAATTCAATGGCTACCTGCTGACTGAGGAAGAATGTGTGTTCAACCCATGATCTGTTGTCATTTTGATATTCTTATGCCCTTTCTTCTTGACCCTCTGCTGTTCCCGCTAATTCAAACAATATATTTAACAAAGAATTCTATGATGATTGAATTGGAACAGCAGCTATAGAAGATGTGGACATCAGTGTTTGACTCTTAGAAAAGATGGAACCAGGAGATATGGTTGATCAGTTTTAATATTATCCATGTATCACTGGTGAAAAAGGATAAGATTTGTTAATATTCTCGAGCAAAAAAAGACTTCATTATTAAATTTATTAAATATTGTTCAAATAAAAGATTTAAAGTTATGAATCTTCTACAATGATCTATGACAGAAAATACCAACTGTTGAAAGATCTTAAAAAGAACATCTCTCACTAACGACAACTTCAGATAGCCAACTTGCATTTACCAACGTCACCAACATCATAAGTGACTATGGTGTTGATGGGACCCCGCATGGGGCATCACCTGTAGAGTAGCTGCTTGTATGTGATCCAACCACCAAAACAGTGTACCGTGTGAATCCATCTACTGGAGATACGACTCCTCTCGCCAAGCCTGGTACATTCCAGTGGCCTCGCTATGTTACATCAACAACATCTGATGTCATCATAGTCAGCAACTTCAGTGCTCATTGTATTAAAGGCTTGGATAAAGATGGTCGGGAAGTTTTTAAATATGGGAAGGAAGGCAGTGGTCAGGGTGAGTTATGTGACCCTTTGGTGTCTGCACTGATAGTTCCAACAACATTATAGTATATCTCCTGATCCCTGAGGGTGAATTCCTGCGCTTCATGCTGACTGAAAATGAAGTATACTTCATCAATCAAGAAAGGGAAGTGGTGGTGGGAGACCTGTATCAAAGGCTTGGATAAAGATGTCAAAGAAGTGTTTTCATATGTGAAGGAAGGCAGTGGTCAGGGAGAGTTATGCGACCCTTTGGTGTCTGCACTGATAGTTCCAACCACATTATAGTTGCAGACAAGTTTAACAACAGAGTATATCTCCTGATCCCTGAGGGTGAATTCCTGAGCTTCATGCTGACTGAAGATGCCATGCACTTCCCACACTCTGTTGTGGTCAATCAAGAGGGAGACCTGGTGATGAAAGACCTATATCAAATGGATAAAGATGGCAGAGAAGTGTTTTCATATATGAAGGAAGGCAGTGGTCAGAAAGAATTACGCTACCACTGTGGTGTCTCCACTGATAGTTCCAACAACATTATAGTTGCAGATAAGATCAACAACAGAGTATATCTCCTGATCCCTGAAAGTGAATTCAATCGCTACCTGCTGACTGAGAAAGATGGTGTGAACTACTCAAACTTTGTTGCCATCAATCAAGAGGAAGACCTGGTGGTGGGAGACCTGTATCAAATGATTGGATAAAGATGGCAAAGAAGTGTTTTTATATTTGAAGGAAGGCAGTGGTCAGGGAGAGTTATGCTACAACTGTGGTGTCTTCACTGATAGTTCCAACAACATTATAGTTGCAGACAAGTTCAACAACAGAGTATCTCCTGATCCCTGAGGGTGAATTCCCACACTCTGTTGCAATCAACTAGGAGGGGAAGCTGATGCTGGGAGACCACGGAGGCAACATATTCACTATCACATACAGGAAGTGAGGTAAATAGAAAACAAAAAATTTAGAAGCATTGTAAATGTCATCTAATAATGCATTATATTACATGCATTGAATGTGTTACTTTTATTGACAAAATGATAATTTCATGATTACGTTAGTCTTAAGTACTCACTAAAAGACTAACGTAATGAATCCAAAATACATTCACATACAAGTATGATAATGAATGATTTCAAACTGAAAAAAATTATATATTCAACAATTTTTCAAGTAAAAGAGGTAAAAAGTGAGACTTCCTGGCTAAATGTACCAAGCCATTAGATGTTTGTATTGGAAGACTAAAAATCTTCCAAGTTAACGAGAGGTGAACAGCACTAAGGACAGAAATATTTCACATTTGTGGACATGCTTTTTCGAAACTAATACAAAATTGCCATAAGAACAAATACATTACACAAAAAATTCTATGACGGTTGCATTCAAACAGCAGCTATCTGAGCACAAGTTGGAACTGGACTGTGCTGACCCTTCAAAAAGAAGAAACAGGGAGAAGTTTGATTGGTCAGTTTGTATTTGATCTAAGGATAAGATTGACTTATTACTTCTAGCACAAAGGGTTCATTTCAACAGTAACATAACATGTGGTAATGCCTTATAATTCAATTTCAATGTGAAAATTTGTGGGTGTGACATGAGTAAACTTCAGCACTCTTTGACCAGATCCCATCAAGAAGCTAGCTCTTGGGCTGAAAATTCAACTTTCCAGAATTGTTCTAGCCCACAATAAGAAATAAATTTAAGTATTAAGTCCATGGTGAATATCCTCCTAATAAGTCTAAACACCTACAAGAGATAAAATTGAGTAACCACACAAGGAATAGAAAAGCTAGATTGGTGTTGATGCAAATGACCCTATGTGCAATAGGTATCACTGCAGTATTGGGTGCACTTTAGTGCTAAATGAATGATGTCACTTGATGTGATAATGTTGCAGCGAAGTAAAAGGTCCATAGTACTTTTATATATAATATGCTAAAATGTACAAAAAAGGTAGAGTAACTATTAACTAAGAGGGTATATGAACTCGCATAGCAGAGCTTTCATCGCTTATACCTACAGTTATAACTCAAATGTAAAATGTAGCGCTGACCCATGCACAAGCATTGGCACAATGTGCAAAACAGATTCAGAAGCCACCTTGGTTATATTTGTAAAACTGAAAGGAAAACTCACAAAAGAGCGTGATCCTGAAAGTAAAAAAATACTTATGGACAGGGCTTCTACTAAGCAACTATTGGTTAGTCATATAATCAAAGTAAATGTATCATAAACTTATCAAATGTGTAATGCTTGTAATATTTAAAAAAAACTATTGTCTTTATCATGATATGTACTTTTTGAACCACTTTTTGAAGAATAAGGTTAAAAAAAGTGCAAAAGAATCTTACTGCTTGGGATTATTGTAAGATACATCATACTTGATTGTGATTGTGTTTTACTTTGGGTTGTTATATATATGGGTTGCTTTGTAGCCATGTGTTCTGCCATCTTGGAAATTT